CGGCCAGTTTACGGGCGCCGATCACCGCAACGATAATGACCGCATCGATGGCGTACAGCCCTATCACCGATACCCAGCCCGCGGTCGACGACGGGTCCCGTGGCGTGAATCCAGTTGTAAACGGTTTCATAGTTGTTGTAGTGATGGGTATAGGAGTGGGGCTGACAGTAGGGCCGGTGATGTTAGTGTCAGTTGTGGTGTTAGTGCCGATTGTGGTGCTGTTGTTGTTGCCAGTGATGGTAGGGTTGGAGGCAATGGTGGGGTTGAAGGGGTTGGAAGGGTTGGTAGGGGTAGGAGTGTCTGATGTCGACGATGGGCTGGAGGTCTGAGCGCCTGTACGTACGGTGCATATGATAAGTGTGTGGATTGCAAACAGTAGTATAGTATTCATGACTTTTATCAGAAGTTTGTATTATTTAAAAGTAAGTGAAAATTAGTGTTTACTCAGAGCTTAAAACTGATACTGAATTTACAAATTATTTTTGAATTATGTTTTATTACTATTCATTTGAATTTAATGTCTCGAGTTTTGTAATGTAATAATTATTTGTTTATTATTATTTAACTTAATTAGTATTAAACTCTACTGAATGTTAACAATTAAATTACACTACAGTATATTGACTGATGGATTGATTATGCCAATTTTTACCTCGACTAAATGCTTTGGTTTGTCAACAATAATAAGTTGTTTACTTATAACGTTAATAACTTATACTTAATAATTTACAAGAATAATATAAAATAATACCTAGATGTTATATAAAGTATAATAGTCATAATCAGATATCTTGATATGATATAATAAATTTATATCACAGTACTTTCGGTACTGTTGTCTGTAAGAAACATGCCAAGTTAATACTAACTAGTAAGTGGTATTAATTATAATTGGATCATGCCACAAAAAATATTTTGATAAACTGTCCCTACTCCAAATACTTTAACATAATTACAATATAACAAATCCTGTTTATATTTTATCAACAACTAGCTCCGTAAACATGATAAATAAAACTTGATATAATTCCTAATGAATTCGCAATTTAATAAATATAGAGTTGAGATAACTTTTATGTGCAGTTATTTATCATACTCATTTCGCAACTAGTAGATACATGCAAACAGATAGCACTTAATTGTACGTTTTAAATCATCCGGGCACAATTATATCAATTTGATATTAAGTAACATTTTGCTTGTTTAGTTTTTAGTTTATTAGGACTAATTATCTAAATAATTAAATAGATAGTGTGACCAGCATTAATAGTTTGTTCTAACAATAAGTGAATTATGCAATATACAATGGTAACTTATCCTGTCAATTATGATATAATTATAAAGTTGGTTAGTCTAGTTATATTATTTTTGACCTACATTTATATCAAGGTATCAAAAATATTGTGTAATATAAAAGTTAGAGAGAGAGAGAGAGAGAGAGATCCACTTAAAACAATTCATGGTAAATAAAACAAATGTCAAGTTCTATTTTCATTTCATTAAGATAACACATATTTTAGCTTTAATTGATAAAACACTTAAGTACTAAATTTGTATAAGATCAAGGTACCAAGAATTGGTAAATTTGTTAAAAATTATTATATTTTAATTACAAACTACTAATGAAAGTGATTTAATTAGAATGTGTAGTTTAAACTTAATAAATGTCATAAATATAAAACTACATAAACAAACATGATTTGCACACGTTGCTAAACACTGGTCACTTAAACAAATATAATTATATAACCAGGGTAGAATTCTGATAAAACTTATCTCAATTACTTTATTATTACCTTAATACGTTAATAAGAAAAATAATAGTACTAGCAACCCATATCATAACTATATAAACAAGTTTAATTTTAAAGCCAACAACACAATATAATAATAAGTTCACTAGATCTAGGTTTTTTAAACATAATAACAAACTATTATAGTTAGTAAACCATAAAACAAACAACATGAACTATTTATTACAGTTGGTCGCGCTACTGGCACTGACCAGCAGCGTATGGTCGGCGTGCGAACTCAAATGGATTAAAACTGACCACAAAAACCTGCCCCCGGACTCAGTACTGGTGATCGCCAACAATCCTGCCGGTGATTTCTACGTGAGTCGAGCCGTATATAACGGTGTACTGACGCCCGGCCGATACAAACCCGCCGAAGAGACTTGTTTTGTCACAATGGATGGCCACGAGTACGGCCTAAGAGAGAACTTCGAGGTCCTGACCAATCCTAACAAGTGCTTTTTGGACTGGAAAAAAGCTCATGATGGTACTGTGCCCAAGGGCGCTGTAGAGTCCGGTAAAGACCCACAGGGTGTAAGTGTGTCTAGCCATGAACAATGTGCTATTTTGTATAAATTTACTACTAGCTAAATAGTTTAATTTTTCAAAACTAGATAAAAAAAGTTACTCTTAAAATTAGTTTAATTTACAACCAGCTAAAAAAGTTTAATTAATTAATTAAACAAATTGGTAATCTTAATTTTAATAATTTTTAACAAAATAATATTGCAGGGTGTGGCGTACAGCGCACGTTTGCACGAGTGGTTCGGCTGGATGGTGGGCAAAATGTACAAGAGCACTAATAAAATGTACTACGGGTGGGGTGGGGGCGAAAACGTCAAGACCGAGTACGAAATACTAGTACTGCTAGACCAGGCGCCAGACCACACACTGCACCCCAGTTGCGCAAACCATAAACAATTTGACCATGATAGT